AGAATAAGGCCTCTGATCAAAATTTTCAGTAGCAATGTTCCTATACAGCTCCCCTCAGACCACCTCTCAAGTCTCTGAAATTTCTGATATTAAAGATAAGGAATTCCCATTCCACGATTCAGAGTCCAGACTCTACATGATCCTTCAGTAGCCCCAGTAACATGTCTTGGAAATGCAAATAGTGACTTTATGAATGGCACTTCAGAAGGGCAGCTGACAGAGCAGGTGGGAAATACTGTATCTCAGTTTGATTTCAGAATTCCAGACGCAGAGGTTGCAAATACACAAAAAAGTGGCATAGACTTTGCTGTATGACAGGCAGCCTGATTTGAAGCTAATTGGTTAATAAATGTCCCCCTATTGTCTTAGCAGCGCATGTATTACACCTGTGAGAATTGCTATGCCGTGTTTGTATAAAGCTGGTTACCTGGCCTTGGAAGAGTGTCTATTAATCTGGATGTGCAGGGCCATGGAGCTCACACTTCTGACCCTGACTTACTGCCAGATGGAGGGCTGAGAACAATGCTCATTGGCTGCTTGTAGCCGATACAATGGCGAGAATGATGGACAATAAAGAATGAGATTATCCTTGACCTTATCAAGGTCCCGGTGGGACTTGTCCCTGACTTGATGAGTACAGGAGGAAGCTTCTTTCCTTTTCTTCATAGAACAGGGAGCCACCATCACCTGACATAACAATGATTAGCCAATTATTTGGAAAATGAATAAATGAAACATTTCAATGTGTGTATTTGTTTATTTATCATTAGCGGCAAGTGAGCATTGGGGTGCCGGGGAAATGCAAAGACTAAATAGCCTGGAGACATTTCCTGTGAAGTTGTTTGTAGATTCACAAACATTCTGAAGGCTTCAATGAATTGTAAACACCCAGAACCACTGCAGTGTCAATGGCTTCTTCTGAATGCTGAATACCCACAGGGAGCTCTGTAGAAGAGAAGCAGATGATCAGGGTGGGTTTGCAATGTTGCTTTTTTAAAGAAGACCTGTCAGCAATTCACTACAATAAATTACATTTTCATTACAACAAAAAAATCCCAGAATTTTTCTAAAGTCACCCCACATTTGAACCCTTTTTTGCTCTCAGCAGAGGTTTCCATTAAGGATCCATTCACCCCACATGTGGACCATTTCTTGCTCCCAGCAGAGGTTTCCTTTAAGGATCCATTCACCCCACATGTGGACACTTTCTTTCTCTCAGAAGAGGTTTCCTTTAAGGATCCATTCACCCCACATGTGCACCCTTTCTTACTCTCAGAAGAGGTTTCCTTTAAGGATCCATTCACCCCACATTTGGACCCTTTCTTGCTTTCAGCAGAGGCTTCCTTTAAGGATCCATTCACCCCACATGTGGACACTTTCTTTCTCTCAGCAGAGGCTTCCTTTAAGGATCCATTCACCCCACATTTAGACCCTTTCTTTCTCTCAGAAGAGGTTTCCTTTAAGGATCCATTCACCCCACATTTGGACCCTTTCTTGCTCTCTGAAGAGGTTTCCTTTAAGGATCCATTCACCCCACATTTAGACCCTTTCTTGCTCTCAGTAGAGGTTTTCTTTAAGGATCCATTCACCCCACATGTGGACCCTTTCTTGCTCTCAGCACATGTTTCCTTTAAGGATCCACTCACCCCACATGTGGACCCTTTCTTTCGCTCAGCAGAGGTTTCCTTTAAGGATCCACTCACACCACATTTGGACCCTTTCTTTCGCTCAGCAGAGGTTTCCTTTAAGGATCCATTCACACCATGTTGCTGTAAAATGCATGTTTTTACCACTACGTACTAGCAGTGGCTTAATTGTATTGTGGGCCCCAGGCTGTTTTCAATTCATAGGCCCCCCAACAGTTTAAAGGTACAGTCCACCTTTAAAAAATAAAGGCACACATATTCATAAAAGAAAAAATGTGCATTTATTATTTCTTTTTGCATTGGAGCCAGTAAAGCATGACAAAACAATGACCAGCGAAAGGGTTAATGGGATCGTACATAGGGGTCAGTGTACAATAAATTGGATGTTATGCAGCGATACACTCATTGCATATTCTTCATATTATGGTTGCAGGTAATGTCCAAATAATGTTCCCAGACACAGGGAAATTAACAGGCAGCGCTCCGTCCATGACAGGTTACACAGCGGGTAGGCTTTCCCTGCTGTGAAACCTGATAGAAGCATAATTCTAGGTGAGGTTCCGCCTCCACCTGCCTCCCCTGACCGCACGTCCCTGGTACGTAGGTACTGTGTATGATTATTTGATATTATTAGTGCCAGTTTATATGAGTGCGTTGAGGAAACGTATGCATATTTAACATTCGGCATTGCTCCTTGCATTAAGCAACCAGTTCATTTTGAAACGGCAGCCACAGCTATGCAACACACTAAAACGGTTCATTTTTTTAAAACCCAGAACACTGCAACGCACAAATCATTCACATCCATGCATTGCGTTGCAAGTACATTGTGGTTGGTGCACTCATTCTGAAATGGCACGGCAACAAATTTCAACTGTGTTGAATGCATTAACATACATTGTGGTAAAAACGCACATTTTACTGCAGATTACCACAACCCGATGATGTGAACAGACCCCCAAAAAAATTAGCGCAGGGGTGGGGAACCTCCGACCCTCCAGCTGTTGTGAAACTACAAATCCCATGATGCATCTGTCTCTGAGAGTCATGCCTGTGGCTGTGAAAAACTTGCAATGCCTCATGGGATTTGTAGTTTCACTGCAGCTGGAGGGCCGGAGGTTCCCCACCCCAGATTTAGAGCAAGGGTAGGCAACCTTGGCACTCCAGCTGTGCAGAAACTACAAATCCTATCATGCTTCTGGGAGCCATTCCTGCGGCTCTCAGTTTTGCAAATCCTTGTGGGGCTTGTAGTCCCACAACAGCTGGAGTGCCGAGGTTGCCTACCCCTAATTTAGAGCATTGAAAAGGCTCTTAATGCTGACCACCCCTGGAGAAAAAGCTGTGCGTTACCGCAATCAGGGGCAATGCATTGTGGTGCCATTCATTTTTAATAGCATTGCAACGCACTAAGGCAACACACGTGTGTTGCAATGTGCTGCAGCATGCACCATAGTGCGTTGCAGCCAGTGGCGTCACAAGGGGGGGTGCGGTCCATGATCAGTGGGGGTGCCACCAAAGGGACTGACAGTCATTTTGGTGTCACCCCCCCTCTGAAAAGTTAATGGTCATGGACCGAGAGCCTGACAGCTGCACAAGAGAGGAGAGGGACCTTCTGTCTTTGCCGGCATCCATCACAATGATGGGGGCCAGCAGTTCAGTGTGCGTGACGTCATTGCGTGCGTAATGATGTCACACGCGTGCGTGATGACGTGCCACTGGGTGACACCTGGCGGCGGCACCGGGTGACACCCGACCTGGAGCAAAATGTTTACCACATGTCCGACTTGTGGGACATTTTTGTGCGTTAGAAGCCCATTCATTTCAATGGGCTGCCATAATACAAAGCACATTCACGCATGAGATAAATCATGTTGTAACGCACGTGTGTTACAGAAGATTCTTAACCTATGCAGAGGGGCTTCCCCCGGCACTGCAAGGGTTAAGTGTTCGTTTGTGTCTGGGTTAAAAAAAAGTTATACTCACCTGATCCTCAGAGCCAGCTTGATCTTAGACCGGTCCCTGAGCCTCTCTCCCCCTCCACTGCAGCGGTCTGAGGTCCCTCAGTATAACATTCTATACACTGTGCATAGCACGTGAGGATGCAGAGGGACATACCATCGCTGCAGTGGAGGAGGAGACAGGCTGGAGGGAACACTGTCATAGCCGGCTGGATCTGAGGATCAGGTGAGTATAACTTTCTTTTTTAACCAAGACAAAAACGAGCAGTTAACCCTTGCAGTGCGGTGGTAGCCCCACTGCAAAGGTTAAGAATCTTTTCCCCTGGAGTTCTGCTTTAATGCACCACGTACATGGGCCCCAAAACTCCGTATCAAATGATGCAAACAGAGCAAATGTAACCTTTTCATCACGACAATTACTTTGACATAAATGTTCCACCAAGAACTGAACATGCGCTGTGATTTCCCTTTAGGCTTGGCGCACACCTAGGCGTTCCCAGAATCTCGTGGTTTTCAAGAGTTTTCCTTTGCGTGTTTATGCGCATTTTTGCTGTTTTAAAATAGAGATGCCTATGGGACCAAAACCACGCAACATCCACCTAAAAATAGCTCCTGTATCTTTTTGCGCGACAGGCGTTCTCGTACGCGCGGCGCAACACACACAATCGTCATTGACTTGCATTACAATGCGTGTTTTGCACGTGTTCGCGTTGATAGATCCGCACGTGAAAACGCTGAGGCGTGAACCAGGCCCTGGACAAGGATGGGGATTGGAAGACATCAGGGCGGACGATGTTGCAGTATGCATTGAACAGAGTTGCAGCAGGTTGCGTCCCCTTCATATTATAGACCTCTGATGACGCCAGCAGGCATTGGGGATTCTCTAGCGATGGATGGTTAGGAGAGTGGACTGCGGCGGCGGCAGCACACGTGTGTGAGCAGTGATGAATGTGTAGTGACGTCATGGCCGCACAGGACCCATGCATAAAGAAGGGGGGGGGGGGGGAAGCTACAATCCAACTCCTCCTTCCCCACCGTGCTCTCCGACACAAAGAGCCGCTGCATCCTCCTCGCATCCACAGTCTGCAGACTGGTCCTCCTGCATCTTCCAGGCACAGCTACGACGTCAGCAGAGCTCACTCCCATCCATCAGGGGGAGGCTCATGTTTATTAGTAAGAGAGCATGCACTGAGTATGTGGAGGAGCAGGGGGGGAATCCAGCATTCAGCGATAGGTAGGCATGCCACGGGTTGCGCACAAGAATAATTACACTTTATAGGCACAAGCCCCCCTCTCCATCTCTGCATCACACCGTCACTTTCCAGCAACCCCTAACATGTGTGCACCCCCCGGAATCGTACTGCCTGCTTGCTGAACGGACATGGTGCTACGCGGGCTTCACTGCCTATCCTGTATCTCGATTTAATCATATCCGTGCCACAACTGGAAAAGTGCGAAGCTGCGTCGGTTGCGGGATACCCCAGCCGCTGCGTCGTTGAGGGCACCATGGGCTGCGGAGGAAGCAGAGCCGATGCCATAGAACCTCGCTATTACGAGAGCTGGACGAGGGAGACGGAGTCCACCTGGTTGACCAGCACCGACACGGAAATCCCCCCAACGGGGCTGGGGCATGCGTGCCAGGAGGAGCACGGCTCAGCGGAGTCCGCTGTGAGGGACAAGAGAGGATCCATTCACCCCGGTGAGAGCAGTCACCCTGTCACCTCATCATCTTCATCCCCACCAACCAGATACTGACAGATGTCATGCCATGTCACCTCATCTGCAGCCCATGAGCCACATACAACACTTGTCTAGTTGTTGACTTTCATGGTTCGGGACTGCGCCTTGTGTCTCTCCATTCGGTTCACAAAAATGTGTTGTGAAAGCTACAGAATAGGAGAAAAACACCAGAAAAGAAGGAAATGTTGTTGTGCAATGGGCCAGCATTTAGTAAAGGAAGTTTATGAGGACTGGCCTCTAAGACTTGGGGATGTCCCTCGAAATCTGGCAACTTTGTAGCCGATTTGTATATTCTAACTTGTCATTGATGTTGTCTATTGGGCTGATTTTAGCTCGCTTTGTGGTGTAGTAGTTGGCGTTTTACACATGCTGAGACTTGCAGATCCACGGACGCATCACACTGGCCACACACAGCAATTTTCAGACAATTCCGTCCACTTTACCAATAGAGCAAGGCAATCTACCGACAGCAGTTCTTATTGACACCTTCAACTGATTGATGCTATTAGTGATTGTTTTTGTGATTGGACATTGGTGGAACATGATTGAAGTTGCCTGCCAATTGCAGTGTGTATGATACAACATTACGGTCACACATCGCCTGATTTTTTTACACAGACGAATATCATTTATTTGTATATATTTAGTACAGCTTTAACTATTTTCTTATTGCATACCAGTCTTAAAAGAAAAATCTAGCTGATATTTCTAACCTCCTTACTGATTGTCTGTGTTAAAGAAGAACTTTTGGCAACATTTTTATTAACCCTTGCAGTGGGGCTACCCCTACACTGCAAGGGTTAACCGCTCATTTTTGTCTAGTGAGGAAAATAAAAAAGTTATACTCACCTGACCCTCCGAGCCAGACGGCTGTGAACGCGCTCCCTCCTGTCCGTCTCCTCCTCCGCTGCAGTGCCTCAGCGTCTTCACATCCTATACACTGTGTATGGAACCTTAGACCGCTGCAGAGGAGGGGTGGAGAGGTGGAAGAGACCGGTCTTACGCTGGGATCACACCTTAACGTATTGGAAAATCGCATTTGGCGGTTTTACCGCGATTTGCGGTAAAATAAATGCGCGGCAAATGCAAGTTTCCGAGGGGGTATCCGGCTGTATCCTGATGGATACAGCGGGATACGCGCGTTAATACGCCCCAAAAAAGCTCCTGTACTTCTTTGGGCGTATGGCGTTTTACCGAGCGTTCGTACGCGCGGTAAAACGCTCAGGTGTGAACCGGGTCTAAGAGCAAGCCAGTTCAAAGGATTGAGTTAGTATACATTTTTTATTTTCCACCCTAGACTAAAACGAGCAGTTAACCCTTTTTTTAAATGTCTCTGAGCTGGAGCAAGAATGTAGCAAGTGAAGTCAAAGCTCCTGATATGCGTAATTGTTCTAAGCTGGGGTTAAAGTGACATTAAACCCTCAGATTCTTTAACATAAACCAATATTGTAATGTGCGCCTTACTGTAATCCATGGTAGTTTCCCTTCTCTTTGCTGCTCTTCCTTTTAAATCCTCATGTCTTCTCATGCTTGGGGAGAACTTCCCTTTGTAGCTGAGTGCCTCTTCCTGTAGTGCTGGCTCAGGTTACAAACCTACACACAGACACCACGTATCCACCATGTATCCATTTCAGAGACAAGGCAGTCTGCTGCAAAACAGAAGTTCTGTCCAGCATGAGAACAGATACAGATTTAAAAGGAAGAGCAGCAAAGAGAAGGGAAACAACCATGGATTACAGTAAGGCGCACGTTACAGTATTGGTTTATGTTAAAAAATGTGAGGGTTTAATGTCACTTTAAGTATAGTAGACGGCAACAAGCATTTTCATGAAGGTGTCAGCCTATCACCAACCTGTTTCTCAGGAACAGGTTCACTTTTAACCATGACGGATGAGATTGAATTCAATTTTCTTTGGGGGGGTCAAAATCTGTTTATTTTGTAGGTGTGTTGAGGGTCAATTCACACACATCAATCTTGACGTACAATCAACTTATGATTGGCCAAAACATTGTAATGTGAGGGCTCTAAACTATCCAATCAATCTAATGGGGATCGTACAGTCAGATTGTAACGTGTGAGGTAAGCTCTTTTGAATGAATTTTATATGGATGTCTCCATTCATCCTCTTAGTAAATATGTCAAGTGATATTTCTAAAACAAAACTATTTTCTGTACGTCGAATTTATTTCATTGATCACTTGTTTTGACTGACTGAGTCTAGACTTTTATATTTATAATGAAATCGTCCTTTAAAGGGTTAGCTGGTGGTTGGTCGATTTTGTATTGTTCAGTGCAATTTATTGAGTGCGTCAATGAAGGTTCACAGCTTTACCATTGTTTATAATAGTGCCGGTTCACACATGTGTGCTGTGTTGGCGTGTGTTGGCAGGTCCGTTTGTCGACATGTGTTGTAGGCCTATCCATGGCAATGGCCGCACATAAAAATGCATGTACCATTTTGTTTTAACACATTTCCAGTGTAGAGTAACCTGCCCTTGCCATAACAACCTCAACATAACTACATTTTTTATGGTTGACAGAACAAAGTAACACAACATGCATAAAAATGCACATTAACATGCACATAAAATACATGAGGCGCAAACCCAATTGCATTTAAATGTGTGTAAACTATCATTGACATTTATGTGGTATGCTGCGTTAAAGTGGACCTTCCTTCCCTTAATAAACCTGAGTGTATTAGTACAATCTATATGTTGAAACAAAGTGAATAGAACTTAACTGCCTCCCAGGGGCATATCTACAACAAATTGCGCATCACTGGTTGCCAGGAGCTGGGTGGGGCACTGTCCAGAGAGTTGCCAAGTACTGGGCAGGGAGATGTGTAAGGGCCATACAATTTTCCCCAACTAGCTCTTAGCAACCTGGGGCGCTCTGGCCAGCATCCTGCCGGCATACACATCACCCCGCCCACTCTGGTTGCTAAAAGCTGGGCAGGGAGTTGTGTATGGCCCTTGCTCTAGTCAGCCACCTGCCCAGCTCCTGGCAACCAGTGACGTCACTAGTTGCTAGGAGCTGGGCGGGACACAGGCCAGAAGGGTGTGAGGTGGCAGCTGAATGTGAACCCTCTCCCTGGGGCTCCGCCTGCGACGAGGATTCCTCCCAGGGGCACCATGCGGAAGCGCAGGTGGGCGCTTGGATGGTGGACCTGAAGGGTCCCTGGAGGGGCTCCTAACTCGGCGCTGAGCCCCACTGGATGCACCGTGTTCCGGCGAAAAACGTTCAGGAGGCCTGGACCTCCTAGCCCGTGTCGCCCGATGCTCGGTTGGTTGTTGGACGTCCTGCAGGATAGTAGCAACTTGATCCTGTAGCCAGTTTGGACCCTGCAATTGTGCAGCAGTTTTCAGTTGGTCCAATAACTGTTTTAAATCAGTCATGTTTCTGGTTGTCTTTCAAGAGGCAAAGCAGCTGCAGGGGTGAAGCTCGCTTGCCGTGTGGCAAATCCAGACTGAACCAGTACTACTCCACCCCCCTCCAGACCACTAAGGAGGCCCTCCTGCAACTCTTGAAACCGGCCAATCAGGTAAGTGACCATCCCCCCTTAACACTAACAACCCCGTACTTCCGAGTTCCCTGTCCACCCTGTCATGTAGTCCTTCCGCCTATTTTTCTTTTCTTTTGCTCCAGGACTATCTTCCCTGGTTGCTGAGAGCTGGGCAAGAGATGTCTATGTGATTTGGGTGGGGAGAGAGAAAAAGTCGGCTGTCTCCATGGGTGAGTGTCACTGCTGCCTCCTTTTTGTACTGTTTCCCCAGTCTCAGAGCTCTGTGTGCATCGGAAACATTGCCACTATTTGAAAAAATCATCATCGGCGGCGGGCTTCTACTTCCTTGTTCTCTGGCGGCACACCAATGACATTTGCGTCTCATGGTATCCGCATGCGCTGTACCACATTATGTATATGGCTCAGCTGAAAAAAAAACTTTGTTTCGGAGATCTCTTGAGATTTTGCAACATCTAGCAAGATTTGGGAGGAAAGGCTTTTTGTTTTCATCAGATGGGTGTAGAGTCATATGGCACATGTGTGAGACAAGGTGAATGGAGTTTCCCTCTATTCTTGTTCCAGTGACAATTAAAGGAGAACTATGGTGTTGAGGCTTTTCCCCATAGTTCTCCTTAGGGTAACGGGAGGACACAAACTAGCATCCTCCTGTCACCCTAAGCTCAGTATAACGCAAACTGCCGCTCGCGGTATACTGAGATGCCACAGTATACCGCGAGCTACTGCTCGCGGTATACTGGGATGCCGCAGCTGAAGCGGATCCCGACAATTATGTCTGACCAGCCCCCCCCCGGTCACGGCAGAGAGCTGTGACAGGATCGAGAGGTGAGCGAACGTCGGTATGTGTTCGCTCACCTCCCGATCTACTGAGCCAACCTGTGACAGTTTCATTGTCACAGGTTGGCTAAAACTATGAGGTGAGTGAAAAGCACTCACCTCATAGTTCTCCTTTAAGAATTTTGGATTTTCCCTCACTTTCAGTCCCAGTGAAAATGGTACCCAAGAGCAAACAAAAAAAAATATTGGCTTTAGATACACTTTACAAGGGGTTGGGGAGGGTGAAGGTCCTCTATAATACATAGTTCACATGATCTTTCACAGTCACACAAGGCCTTCTGGGAGGAGATACAGCTTCTTGGCAGCCATTCTATGTTAAACAATCTATCTCCTGTAAAACTACCTGTACATTTCCCTGCATGCAATGTTTTCTGTAGTTCACTGGGGAGCACATAAAATACATCACTTTTATTCTTTCTGAACGTGAGTGGGTGTGCAGAATTAGACGGCAGATAGACCTGGGTGGGCTGAGTTTAGAAGCTTTGACCTACAGAACTGCAGGCTGGTTGTTAGGTGTTCTCAGAAAACCTTGTAAAGCAAAGGATTTTACAAAGAAAAAAAGCCGGGTGTGCTCTAGAAACAAAAGAATGAAAGTAAA